ACAGGTTGTGACATGAATCAAAAATAAATCTCATTAATAGATAAAATATCACGAATATATCACAGTACATCAATCACTGGACATATTTAATCAAGCTAAAAGCAAAGCACAGTAAATGACAGCAAACATCAAGCAATTATATTTTCTGACTTGATTGCTCTAGTGATGAAATGAGAAGCCCAGTTGGGTAACTCTTGGTCCCTGTATTGCACATTAACATCATCAGTTCCCCATTAGCACATGATTAGACTATGCTTTAAAATGGTCAGTAGATCCAGAGATAACAAGTAGGGATGCTCCGATATCACTTTTTTAAGACAGGACCTCCATAGCGTCTTCAAAGAAACAAGATGGCCAATTGGATGATTGACAGGCTTCCTCACCAGTCACTTCTGACTGGTGAGGAAGCCGGTCAATCATCCAATCAGCCAATCAGCGGGAGAAGATGACTGAGGACAGTCAGCGGGAGAAGATGACAATCAGAATGGAGCAGATGACTGAGGACCTGGAGGCGAAGTTTACTTTTGGCCGTTTGCCCGTGGAGGAGGAGTTTGCGGCCATCTTGTTTCATTGAAGACGCTATGGAGGTCCTGTGTGTGGCGGTTTCGGGTCCTTGAAGATGGCGGACGCGGCACAGGTACTTGTTTTTTGTATCGGAGTATTTGCACGAGTACGAGTACTCATGCAAATACTCGGTATCGCCGCCGATACTGATGCTTGTATTGGTATCGGAGCATCCCTAATAAAAAGCAGCTGAAATTATTTGAAAATTGTGAGTTATTCTGAAAATGATGATTTTTGCCTTCCCAGCTCTTTACGTTCATTAATTTGATTGGAAGACTCACTCACCAACTTGCAGACTTAAGGGCCAGGAGAGACAAGGCTAGGCATGAATTTTACAGGAAACAGTTAAACATTACATGTAGGTTCAGCTGCCTATATCACAGGATGATTGTTTTGATAGGATGCTCTCACTGAATATAACCTCTGCTTGGCTATTTTAGTTCATCACATGCTCAGTTTATATTGTTCAGGTTGTGACAGGTGTGGGCAGCCACCTGCCTCTAGGGGAATCCTCTTGGGGATTCAAGAGAAGTCTCCAGGCCAACTGGGTGATGAACCTTTGCTTGGTGTCACCTGGAGAAGGGCCACCATGTTTGATGTTCCTCCATGACCCTCCTCACAGTTGGGTAAGTCTGATAAAGCCTCACTGGAAGAGGTAGGATGTACAAACCATCTCAACTGGTGCCTCTTTATTTAAGGAGCTATGACTTCTTTCTGATATGTTCCTGAACTGCAAGACTCCAAGCATTGCAAATAAGCACAGTAATTGTGCTGATAGCGAAAACTTATGAACCTGTGACCGCTATTTCTCTTTCAGCCACTACCCATAACATGGTCATATGGATGCACTGTAGTTTGGTTATCCAAAAGCCATATCTGAAATCTCAGTTAATGGTTCCAGCCCCAAGCTAGTGTAATGTCTGAAAAATAGCAAACCCATTCCCGGAATGAACCTGCATTCTTTGTCTTCATCCCAAGATCCCCTATTTACAGAATACTGTAAAGGAATAATAAGAACACTACAATTTTTTTCGGTATGTAATAGGAACTTTTTAAAATGTTTTATACACATTTTGTACTGCTCATTAAAGGTCTTTCTAAGTACACATATAATCTATAAACAATAATGTATGTACATTATATTAACATGATCCTGCTGTGCTAACACCATATCTGTATTAACATCCTCCTGGTTTTCTGTGTCATACCATCTATGTTGGTCCTCTCTATACAGGATATGACATTTTCATGTTGATACATTTCTTTTTAATTAATAATTGTATCTAAAAGACTGCAAATGTTCAGCATATGCATAAAGATAGAATTCATAAATGAAGTTGCCATCACAGAGAACATCAGATCGAATCATTACAATGACAACACCCAGTACAGCTGGTAAAGAATTTTGTTCCAATTTACCCAATTATTCCATAAAATAAAATCAAATGTTTACAATTATATCCTGTCTGTCTGTATACTTTACTTACACTAAGATATGTATTCAATCATATCTTACACATACAAGAGAGCTTTATATGCTGCCTACATATTACAATCTAATTGTACAATTTACTAAATTGTAATTGGATCATTTCATTTCCACCTTTTGTTTATTCAGAATCGTAGGTTAACCGTTTTTATGTAATTTTATATAGAATCATCTATTTATACAGTAACTGTATTGAAAGAAAACTTTACGTGCAGGGTTTTTTTTTATGGTTGTAAACGAATATGACCAATGTCATAAATTTTAATATTTTGCTACAAGCTTGTATTGGATGCCTCAACACCTACTGCATATGGAAAAGAGCAGGTAGTCAAGGAAAACAATGTGATACGGCACAGATTCCCAACAACGGCACATGTATCCCAGGAGGTCCCATCACTTGGGCCCCATCACTTAGGCCCCATTCACACCATCATGCTGCAGTATACACACATTACCGCAACACATTCATTCTGTATTGCACCCCAATGCAATGTTGATGAACATGTGCTATACTATTTATATGCAGTACGACAATGTGAACCCTGCCTTAATTTAACTTCATTCATAACATTCAATTTTAGCACATATAAAATAATTTATGAAACAAACACTGTCACAAGCTCCAGTCAAAGAAGGAAATCTACTGTAATTTTTGTAACAATTTTTGAAATGTAAGTAAGTGACCAGGGGGTGATTTATTCAAAGAGAACAGACTGTTCACTTAGCAAAATGAATGTTTACTTAAAGCAGTGCGTTAGGTGGAGCTCATGTACCACCCCCCAAGAAAGCCCTGACGGTCTGTCAAACTGGGCTGTGTTGGGCCACCCTAATAATCATTTTAAAAGAAATCAGTGCATGTTCACGCCATCAGCGATGGGCTGTTAACACAGTAAAAATGCGAGGTCAGACAAAACAACATTGAGGCGAATTTACCAAAACTAGAGCAGAGAGAAAATGGAGCAATTGCCCATGGAAGACAATCAGCTACTATCTTTTGTATCTTTCTATGGACAACTACTTCAGATTCTGTCTGCCCCAGTTTAGCTAAATCCCCCCCATGGTTTTTAATGGTGCCAGTTCACACCGATTCCTTGCAATGATGTGCACAAGATGGTACATTACAACATGCACTGCAAGCAAAGGTTCCCAGACAGCTAGGTTGGCTCTTGCTTTGAGAATAAGCACACAGAAATGCATGTTGAAAAAAATGCAACTCATTGTAATGTCAGCGTGCTAGCAATGTACATGTGTTTTACAATGTTTTCCTGCGTGATCAGCCTTTTACTTTGGATGATATTTCTGGCTTATTTGTATGGTATGCAAAATGTATGGTGTGTGTGAATCAAAGTTAATTAAAACAATGCAATGACCTCAGCGTCTCTGAGGAAGTCAGTAAACTAATAATCTGAAAATCATTAGGTTAGGAGCACAAATGACAGCACTGAGTTTCGAGCTCAGGAGTTTATCAGTATAAGGTACGTGAGGCCTGATTGTTTTTCCATCTGAACAAAGCACACAAGACAAACTCTCCATAGAGCAGTATGTGTAGCTCCCGGTTGTGACTGAATAGTCAGGAACCCATCCAATCAACACCTTGCCTGTTGCCTTTCATATATTGCAATAGATAATAATGTAATGTCTACACACAGTCACCATAATAACTAATATCAGAATCATTTCATATGTGACAATCCAAGCCATCCTCAACCTGTTGGAGAACCCATAACAATTGATCTTTAATCATTTGTCTGTCATATATTGCAATAGTTGTGGCTATACACTGTTACCATAATAACTAATATCAGAATCATTTCATATGTGACAATTCAAGTCATCCTCAGCCTGTTGGAGAATCCATCACAACTGATTTTCAATCATTTCCTCTTTCATATATTGCAATAGTTGTGGCTACACACAGTTACCATAATAGCTTATTTCGGAATCATTTCAGTCGTGACAATTCAAGTCATCCTCAGCCTTCACAACTGATCTTCAATCATTTCCTCTTTCATATGTGCACGGGGTAAAAGGTCATATTGTATTATTGGGAGAGCCTACATCATGGGGAGTGCTAGCACACTTTGAGGGGCCCATTCATGCTTTTAATGCATTGCACTGCATTCTAATAGGTTTTACAGATGGGACATTACATCTCCGGATGTGTTTGCTGGAAACTGCACCAAAGATACAAAACACACTGCACTAAAACACGAAGATGTGATGTTTGCTTAGAATGGTCACTTTCTTCTAAAAGATCTGGCCTTCATGGGTAGCCAATGGGAAATGTTCCCATAGTGGAGTCTGTCCAATAGATTTAGGAGGGATCTAAAAGAGGCGCGGAGCCATTGCTGAGCTCTAGTTCTGAAAAAGCTAGCTACCTACAAGAATGTAGATAAAGATTTCAGATTTTTGTGTCTGATACCTTTTTAGTCATTGACTGATATTTATTAGTCAGTGGCCTGCAATGTAATAAAGCTGGGGGATCAGCATAACAGCCAGTCAGCTAGCATTTTTAGAACGAGGTCAGCAGTGCAAACCTTGCATTCCACTCCTGTTTTTCCATTTTTTTTTTCTGCAGGGACAGTCGGACGTGACTTACGTCTATGACATACTTGGGGTGATTTCTTCTGAAGTAATACATGTTTAAGAGGCATAGGTACATGTGTGACTATGCACTATCACAAGCTTTTTCTATTTGCTGAAGGCAGAACTTTTCTTGTCCTTAAGCTTAATATAGCCTTTCATATCACACAAGACACACACGTGACGCATCAAACACATAAAATAAGCACCCAATATTACATGCTCATTTATGTGACCTGAAAGCTCCCAATGACAGCCTCATACAATGGTAAAGTAGTAAAAAGATGGTAAAAAACACTTTTTATTTGCTTTAAAAAAAGTAATGGGAGAGAGAGAGAGAGAGAGAGAGAGAGAGAGAGAGAGAGAGAGAGAGAGAGAGAGAGATGCTAATACAGCCCAACTTCACATAGTAGATCTTAGGCTGTCAGGGCGTGCTGGGACTAGTAGCTCAACATCAGCTAGGGAGTCACAAATTCACCTGCTGTAAAGAAAATAATTGTGCTCTTGAATGATTGAATGAATGATGAAATGATGAATGAACACCTATTGGCTACCCAGTACCCTTGCATACTCATCTCTAATATTTTTCAGTCATTTACCTGAGATTCATATCTCCATTTACCAGAAGTGACATGATGTTGGAGAGGTTTCCGCCAGGACAGCAGCCACACAGCAGTACAGCAATAGCAGCAACTTCATTGAGAGAAAAGATCAGAGCCAACAGGAAAGCCACCAGAGGCATGAGGACAAACTGACATATGAGTGCCAGTAGAACTCCAATGGGTCTCCTGAGATGTTCCCCTATCTGACTGACCTCCACTGTACAGCCCAGACCCAGCATGGTGACACAGAGAGCCACCCCGACAAACACACTCAGGAAATGGTTCAATGGGCTATCCCAAAAAGGAGCAGAACTGGCTAACTGTTCAGGTAAAGCTCTCTGAAGCATCACGGCCATGCTGTTGGGTTCTGTCCTTTCATCCCCTGTAATGTCAGTGGTAGCAATCTCCAGATGAGAGCTTTCTGTGAAGTTGTCCCCAAAGTTCCACAAGGAAGAATTAGATAAATCCATAGTGCTGATACTTGAGTTTTCCATTCTTGGAACTGTGATCAGCCTTCTTCCCTTGTTTCTGAATGAAGTGGGACCAGTGAAGAGGAGGGGTAGGAGGAGGCAGGCTGGCCCTATCTCATCCTCAAGCAGCAGCCAGACAATAATCTGACCAGGAACAAGCTCACTCTCCTCTATCACATCTCATGCAGCCATCCACCTCACCCTCCTCACCACACCCCCACAACAGCACAAGCACACTGACAGTTCATGGTCTATCCCCGTCAATGAGCTTCTCACCCTTCCTACTAAAATAACAGTTCAAATTGAATTCTGCACTTTCTTTATTTCTCATACAAGGCAACAGACACCACCCCTTACCTAGAAATATCTCCCAGCTCACATTTGTGCATGATCAGAAATTGCTATAATTACCATCTGCCTGATGTGCAGCATCTTATCAAACAATAACAGACAAGTCTGCTGTAGATTCAAGGCCATTCAAAATCATTTTGTACTACACTTGAATGTCTGGTATTGAAATGCTCAGTGTGTCACCGAATGTGTAAACCCAACAAAGTAGGAGTTGTCACTGATTATTATTATTATTCAGGATTTACATAGTGCCAACAGTTTGAGCAACGCTTTATGATATAAAGAGGACATTACAGTTACAATATCAATCAATATAAAGAAAAGATGTAGACATATATTAAATATTGAAAGCCTAAAATAAAATCTTATCCGTGCAACTAGCAATGCAAATATGTAACACCTTTTTGTAATTTCTTTTATATTGTTTTATATGTAGCTACATTTCATCTTTTTTGTTGTTTTATGCAAAAGTTAAAGCAAAATCTAATGCAACTTTAGTATATTAACACAATGTATTATTATTATTAATAATAATAATCAGATGTGGCAGCTATAGCTTGCATGACAAAACTGGGGCAATATTCAGGATATGACTTGGGAGAAATGGGGAGAGAAAGTGTACACAATGTGTTGATGATTGCCATTATCAGAGGAAAGCCAGGGCAATGCTTGGTGAATACTTAGTAATACAATAAAGACATTTATTTAAAGGAACAATCAAAGCATACAAGATGAGTTTGCATTTAAACTGATGTAGGGAACATGGTCTGAGTTGGGATGCCAATTTTAAGCATAGAATTTATCATGTGAAGCGAATTGTCCCATTTAACAATAAGCTGTGGTCATTACCATCTTTTCCTGTATAAACAAATGACAAAATGAACTCAGGGTGACATGTTTCATTGTTCACTGCAGTGGAAAACATAGAAAACTTCCAATATGAGGCAACTACTAGCTATTAACCAGCCAACTAAAATCTGGACTTATTGGCCAAAAGTTTACATTTTTTCATCCTTATTTATGTCTTAGTGCTACTGTTCTCCTGTAGACTCTTTGCAGCCACTTCCTGACTACATGCACTCCAGAAATGGCTGCTTGGTATTATTCAGGGTGGGTCTACTGATGGTGACAACTTGCATAATGTGTGTTGAAACAACTCCTTGTAATTTTGTAGTCTTCCTAGTGGAAAGCACTGCCAACCTATAACTGGGGGCATTTCAGGGGTGTGTCCATTACCTATATATAACTGGGGTTATGGCAGAGATGTGTCCATTGCCTATATATAACTGGGGTTATGGCAGAGATGTGTCCATTGCCTATTTATAACTGGGGGCATGTCAGGGGTGTGTCCATTGCCTATTTATAACTGGGGGTATGGCAGGGGTGTGTCCATTGCCTCTATATAAATATGGCAGAGATGTGTCCATTGCCTAGTTATAACTGGGGTTATGGCAGAGATGTGTCCATTGCCTATATATAACTGGGGTTATGGCAGAGATGTGTCCATTGCCTATTTATAACTGGGGGCATGTCAGGGGTGTGTCCATTGCCTATTTATAACTGGGGGTATGGCAGGGGTGTGTCCATTGCCTCTATATAACTGGGGGGCATGACAGGGGTGTGTCCATTGCCTATATATAACGGGTGGTATGGCAGGGGTGTGTCCATTACTGATATATAACTGGGGGTATGGCAGGGGTGTGTCCATTGCCTTTATATAACTGAGGGTATGGCAGAGGTGTGTCCATTTCCTACATATAACTGGGGGTATGGCAGGGGTGTGTCCATTGCCAATATATAACTGGGGGTATTGCAGGGGTGCATCCAATCCCTATGTACAGTATAACTGGTGGTATGGCAGGGATGTGTCCATTGCCTACTGTATATATAACTGGGGGTATAATAGGGGTGTGTCCATTGCCTATATGTAACTGGGGGAGTGGCAGGGTTGTGTTCATTGCATATACTGCATATAACTGGGGCTATGGCTGGGGTGTGTCCATTGCTTATATATAACTGGGATTATGGCAGGGGTGTGTCCATTGCCTATATATAACTGGGGGTATGGCAGGGGGGTGTCCCTTGCTTCTATATAACTGGGGGTATGGCAGGGGGGTGTCCCTTGCTTCTATATAACTGGGGGTATGGCAGGGGGGTGTCCCTTGCTTCTATATAACTGGGGGTATGGCAGGGGGGTGTCCCTTGCTTCTATATAACTGGGGGTATGGCAGGGGGGTGTCCCTTGCTTCTATATAACTGGGGGTATGGCAGGGGGGTGTCCCTTGCTTCTATATAACTGGGGGTATGGCAGGGGGGTGTCCCTTGCTTCTATATAACTGGGGGTATGGCAGGGGGGTGTCCCTTGCTTCTATATAACTGGGGGTATGGCAGGGGGGTGTCCCTTGCTTCTATATAACTGGGGGTATGGCAGGGGGGTGTCCCTTGCTTCTATATAACTGGGGGTATGGCAGGGGGGTGTCCCTTGCTTCTATATAACTGGGGGTATGGCAGGGGGGTGTCCCTTGCTTCTATATAACTGGGGGTATGGCAGGGGGGTGTCCCTTGCTTCTATATAACTGGGGGTATGGCAGGGGGGTGTCCCTTGCTTCTATATAACTGGGGGTATGGCAGGGGGGTGTCCCTTGCTTCTATATAACTGGGGGTATGGCAGGGGGGTGTCCCTTGCTTCTATATAACTGGGGGTATGGCAGGGGGGTGTCCCTTGCTTCTATATAACTGGGGGTATGGCAGGGGGGTGTCCCTTGCTTCTATATAACTGGGGGTATGGCAGGGGGGTGTCCCTTGCTTCTATATAACTGGGGGTATGGCAGGGGGGTGTCCCTTGCTTCTATATAACTGGGGGTATGGCAGGGGGGTGTCCCTTGCTTCTATATAACTGGGGGTATGGCAGGGGGGTGTCCCTTGCTTCTATATAACTGGGGGTATGGCAGGGGGGTGTCCCTTGCTTCTATATAACTGGGGGTATGGCAGGGGGGTGTCCCTTGCTTCTATATAACTGGGGGTATGGCAGGGGGGTGTCCCTTGCTTCTATATAACTGGGGGTATGGCAGGGGGGTGTCCCTTGCTTCTATATAACTGGGGGTATGGCAGGGGGGTGTCCCTTGCTTCTATATAACTGGGGGTATGGCAGGGGGGTGTCCCTTGCTTCTATATAACTGGGGGTATGGCAGGGGGGTGTCCCTTGCTTCTATATAACTGGGGGTATGGCAGGGGGGTGTCCCTTGCTTCTATATAACTGGGGGTATGGCAGGGGGGTGTCCCTTGCTTCTATATAACTGGGGGTATGGCAGGGGGGTGTCCCTTGCTTCTATATAACTGGGGGTATGGCAGAAGTGTCCATTGCCTATATATAACTGGGAGTATGGCAGGGTTGCATCCATTGCATCTCACTCAGTCCATTGTAGTCTACTAAAGCTTCTTCTTGTAAATAGTAATGTAAAGCACAGGGAGGGTGTTGTCCATTGCAACCAACCCTATTGCAGCGACTGATTAAGGAAGGAAGCGATTAACCGATGACATCTGATTGGCTATTATCCTTTGTTCCAATTAGTATTCATTCGGCACAGCAATGCCATACATGTAAAAGAAGGTTGTTGCGTCTGTCTGGCTGTCCTTATCTCTGTGTACTACACACGTCTCAGATACTGCTGACTAGTTCATCTCCAGTAATATGTCTGTAGAGAGCCAGACACGGCTAAGCTAGTTGGAGGACAATTTGAAGATGAATTTTCTTGAGGCAGCCAGCAAAGGGCTGTCAATGGTTAATCTACCGAGCTGCTTTATGTGATGGAGTAAACCCAGCCCGTGTTTCTGTGTCATTTATCACTGTTCTATGAGCACAAATAAAGCAAACAGGCTTAGAGGCGGCTGATGTTTCTTGTTGGCAGAGATCTGTAGGGAAGGAAAACCTAAGAAATAACTTGTCTATCTGAGGAAGCCAATACCATGTACTATGTACTATGTCACACATGTTATGTTGTATCATCTACTATGTCACACATGTTACGTTGTATCATCTACTATGTCACATATGTTACGTTGTATCATGCACTATGTCACACATGTTATGTTGTATCATCTACTATGTCACACATGTTACGTTGTATCATCTACTATGTCACACATGTTATGTTTTATCATGCACTATGTCACACGTGTTACGTTTTATCATGTACTATGTCACACATGTTATGTTGTATCATCTACTATGTCACACATGTTACGTTGTATCATCTACTATGTCACATATGTTACGTTGTATCATGCACTATGTCACACATGTTATGTTGTATCATCTACTATGTCACACATGTTACGTTTTATCATGTACTATGTCACACATGTTATGTTGTATCATCTACTATGTCACACATGTTACGTTGTATCATCTACTATGTCACACATGTTACGTTTTATCATGTACTATGTCACACATTTTACGTTGTATCATGTATTATGTCACACATGTTACCTTGTATCATCTACTATGTCACACATGTTACGTTGTATCATCTACTATGTCACACATGTTACGTTTTATCATGTACTATGTCACACATGTTACGTTGTATCATCTACTATGTCATACATGTTACGTTTTATCATCTACTATGTCACACATTTTACGTTTTATCATGTACTATGTCACACATTTTACGTTGTATCATGTATTATGTCACACATGTTACCTTGTATC